GCCAGCCACACCAAGGTGGACAAGAGACTAGGTGAGCCATGGGCAGGGTTGCAAGTAAGGACTCAGCCCACATCCACCGCAGACAGCCTGAGGCCCCTGATACACCAAGGGGTGCAGGACAGGCAGTGACCCCTGCCTGTCATCCCCATCTAAAGGGCTCTGCCTGATGCTCACAGGGGTCCTCCCAGTCCAGGGAGGGTTTCTTCTGAGGGACCCTGCCAGCCCCAGGGCACATGCAGGCTGCATAACCCAGCCCCTGGGCCCAGGGTAGGTCGTATGTCTCAGAGCTGCCTACAGCCACATGGAAGAATCTGACTGGACATCATCCCAGTCTGAGGGCAGCAGGAGTACTCACTCTCCTCTCCACCAAGGTAACCCACTTTTCATCTGTCTTCTCTCTCTGCAGCGAAAAGCTCTCTCCGACCATGTGGCCCACCTTGCAAGTGCCCAGGTAAAGTGAGCCCCCCCCTCACAAAGAGGAGCCTATCCCAGTCGGGGGACAAGCCCCGTCCATAGCTCAGCCCCCACCGCCCAGGCACTGACTCTCACTCTCCCCACCAGCTCCTGACCTCCCAGGAGGGCCCTCTGTCTTCATATTCCCACCCAAGCCCAAGGACACCCTCATGATCTCCAGAACCCCTGAGGTGGCATGTCTGGTGGTGGACGTGAGCCAGGAGGACCCTGAGGTCCAATTCAGTTGGTACGTGGATGGCACTGAGGTGCACACAGCCAAGACCGGGCCTCGGGTGGAGCAGTTCAACAGCACCTACCGCATGGTCAGCGTACTCCCCATCACGCACCAGGACTGGCTCAAGGGCAAGGAGTTCAAGTGCAAGGTCAACAATGGGGCCCTCCCATCACCTGTCGAGAGGACCATTTCCAAGGCCAAGGGTGAGGCAGTGGGTAGTGGAAGGGAGTGGGTTACCCTTCCCTCCACACTGGGAATAACTCTCAATCACCCACATCCCCACAGGGCAACCCAGGGAGCCAGAGGTATATGCCCTGCCCCCACACCCGGACCAGCTGACTAAGAGCAGCGTCAGCCTCACCTGCCTGGTAACAGGATTCTACCCTGATGACATCGACGTTGAGTGGAAGAAGAGCGACCAGCCAGAGCCTGAGAGTAACTACGTGAACACCCCACCCCAGAAGGATTCCGATGGGACCTTCTTCCTGTACAGCAAGCTCTCTGTGCCCACGTCAAGCTGGCAGTCAGGAGATGTCTACTCCTGCGTGGTGATGCACGAGGCACTGCACAACCACTACACCCAGAAGCCCGTCTCCCGGTCTGCCGGTAAATGAGCCTCCACAAGCACACCCAGCTAGCACTCCCCCCACTGCTTGCTGAGGCCCCTGAGCACACCTGGAACCTCACCTGTAAATACTTCCCAGGCGATCCACCCTGAA